TAATCATAATCATAATAGTAATAATAATAATAATCGTAATCGTAATAGTAATAATAATAATAATAACTGCATTTATATAGTGCATATCCACGCTGTACAGCATGTTCAATGTGCTTTACAGCTTCTTCTTTCCTATGAAACATCTATCTTCTTTATCTACCCTCCTCCTTTTTCGTGTTAGTTACTCTCTTGTAACACCTCTAACCTTCGGCACTTATATGACCATATTTGTGTTGCAAGTGCCGTTAAACACTTACTAAAACTAAAACACCACACCACACCAAAATTGTATAACAAATGCTGTAAAAATTCTTACACTCACACTCAAACTCAAACTCTGGTGTGGTTTGCTTCTTCTTTCCTATCGAACATCTATCGTCCTTATCTCTCCTTCTTTTTTTTGGTGTTTGTTACTCTCTTATAACACCTCTAATCTTCTGACGCTCATATGACCTTATGCAGTTGCGAGCGCCGTAAAACCTCTACTAAAACTAAACTAAACACTACCCCTCGCCATATCCAACCACACCACACCACACCATAATACACCACACCGCACTGCACTGCACCACACCACACCACATCCCACCCCACCACACCACACCACACCACACCACACCACACCACACCACAAATACACCCTTCGGCACTTATATGACCTTATTGTGTTGCAAGTGCTGTAAAACCCTTACTACAAAGAAAGGTCAATGTCCCCAGGAGGTGGAGATAGCCGACTGCATGCAGACCCTGTTCCGGGGCAACAGCTTGGCCTCTAAGATCATGGCCTACTGCTTCCGCTTCTACGGCCAGTGGTACCTGCGGGAGCTGCTCAACCCGCTGCTGCTGGGCATGTTTGAGATCGAGCGCTCGGAACATTACATCTCCTACGAGGTGGATCCAGCCAGGTAAGTGCGACGCGCCCCCCCACTGCTTTCTTGTCTTATCTATTTCCATTTAAAAAAAATGAAAACATCCGTGAAAATAGTTCCTAACAAAGAGTGAGCTAGCCCCCCGGGGCGGTGCCACTGACTGAAGTGTCTTAAGGCCATTCCCAAAGGGGGGACATTGCCATGTTCTGTAGCACAGGAGAATTGTTAATGGGCTGATTCATCAATGTCATGCTCATAACTGTGCAGGAATTGCAACAAGGAACTGCTGCTTTTTCTTTCCTCATCCTTACTATCGTCATTTTCCCACTACTTCTTTTGTGTGTGTTTGTCACACTCTTGTGACCCGCTATTTCTGGGGTGCCTTGAAAGTCAAACAGACTTTGTGCTGTTAAAGTTAGAAAGGTGAGCAGAGTAAGCCCGATTCCCTGTAGAGACTTCTCTTTGCCGCTCATATGACCCTATGCAGTTGCGAGTGCCGTAAAACCTCTACTAACACAAGATACTTCTCTGTTGACATCCACCCCTTGGAGCTCCTATAACCGTCTGCAGTTGGGAGCGCCATAAAACCTCTACTAAGTAAAATATATCTCTCTCCATTTCCATGTCCTCCCGCTCTTTTGTACGTCATTCTCTGTGACATATCACTCTCCATTTCCATGTCCTCCCACTCTTTTGTACGTCATTCTCTGTGACTCTCCTCCTGGTGCTGTGTGCTTTTCCCTTGGTCTCTTACCCTGTGGATTCCAAGTGGGTGGTTGGCAGGTGCTCTGGTGTGGTTTGTTTTTCTTTTTTGTGTTTGTTACTCTCTTGTAACACCTCTAATCTGTGTTTTATACTGTATTCTTATGTTTATTATGTGTGTGTGTGTTTCATTCCCAGACTGGAGCCCGGGGAGAACATTGACGAGAACAAGCAGAACTTGTTGAACATCACTCAGAAAGTCTTCAACGCCATCGTGGGATCCGCGCCACAGTAAGTTGCAGCACGGTTTTCTTCTTACACCTGATCTCCCACACACACACACACACACACTCTCACACACACCCACAGTCACATACACACACACACACACTTATCTACAGACCATTGCCATAGTCGTTGCTTTGGTTTTTCTGTCTCCCTCTCTTTTTCTCTTTATTTCTCTCTCTCTCTTTATTTCTCTCTCTCTCTCTCTCTCTCTCTCTCTCCTTCTCTCTA